TAAAGTGGAGGATTGCAGAATGTATGCAGATGTAGGTTGCATGTATGGGGCCCATGTAGCTATTGCTTATTGATGATGTGACTGCTGATAGTAGTAGCAGGTTGAATTCTGTAGTGTACAGGGCTATTGAGCAAAATGAAGGGTTTGAGACTTCACACAGTCACTGACTGCAAAGGATTTTCATCCAGGTATAAAAAACAATCCTTATATTTAGAATTGTCTTAGTCTGTAATTATGAGCCTTGACAATGACCCTAAATAAAAAAAATCATCAAGAAACCCACTGTTTGGGTTTATTGTGACAAAGATTATGCCATCGTCCAAATATCTAAGGACCTAACTGTGCATTCTGACTGATTTGTTGCTGCTTCCAGGATGCTTTGCTTCAGTTTTTTTTTTTTTGTCGCTGCGTATAAAGACAGATTACAGTGAGCCATATGCCGGAATCTGGGAGAAAGAAGTATGGGAAATGAGAAAAGGAGTGAGTGAAAAGTGAGGAAGAGATAAAGATGGATAGAGAGACAGACAAAGAAAACGCAAGGTAAGCTAATCAAGAGCAAGAGTGCTGAGAGGGCACTGCCCCAATACAGTGGGACTCCTGACCTTGACTTGTTGGAGACAGAGACAGAGAAGGAGCCGGGTGGGAGGCTGGCAGCCTGAGGGGATATTAGGAAGAATTGATGAAATTAAAGAGAGGAGGAGAATACTGCAGAGAAGGGCAAATCTAGACATATAAACTGTTATGACAAAATTAGGTCAGCTGGGATCAGATTTTTAAGCACTTTTATTTGTTTTTTATTTGAAGAGTAACAAGTTCTTGCTACACAACTGCTGTGTCATCATAATCAATAATGCTTGCAATTTTAGACTACTTTTATTTTCTAGTTGTTTTTTTAATTTTTTTTTTATTGTGATCTGATGACTCCATGGGATTCATTGTCCATTAAACATTGCAGAGGCTTTTTATGAAGATGAATTAGAATAAAAGCCCATACCATTCACCCAAAGCATTAAAAATGCCTACCTCATATTGGGTAGCCACGCCTGCTGCTAACAAAAACATCTCCGATCCATCTTTGGGGGTACACTTATACCTTTAGGTAATATCTGTAATGTGTGGGGGCCTCTGTGAATTAAGTTTTTTATGTAGAGGATCAATATGCCGAGTTTGGAGGCCCAGTCTTGAATTGCATTGTGACAAACATAGTCAGTGTTATTTATTTAACCTCAAGGCTGATCTCTGTATATGCAAATACTGATTAAACCATTGAAAGTTAGAGATTTTGGGGGGGGGGAATATCTTCATTCAAGACCTCTGAATGAATCAACCACATCAGTGATTCGAAATCAGATCCAGTCTATCATCATCTTGTACTAAAACCAGTGATTAACTTTGTATTCATCCCATGTTGCATAAACCAGACAGCATTGCTCTGGGAGTCACTGTTGATTGGTTAGGTAAATACTAAAGTATCCAAACCAGTTCAAAACAGGTTTATTTATAAATCACATTCACAAAAACAGTCAATCCAAGCCATTAATGTAAGGTAAAGATCCTACAGTATTAGGCATAAAGCACAAACAATAAATTGATCACCCATATGAGCAATCACTTTGGAATGGTGGGAAGGAAAAACTCCCTCTTAACAGGAAGAGTCCTCCGGCAGAATGAGAGTCAGGGAGAGGCAGCCATCAGCCTCAACTGGTTTTAGGAGGTGGTGGGGGGTGAGGAGTTTGAAAGAACAAAGGGAGACAGGATAAAACACAGACTAAGGAAGAAATAAGACAAGAATTTAATGAGATATATGGGGAGTACCAAGAGGTGAGTGGAGAGGAAGTGCTGAGTGTATTGCATGAAGTCCCGCAGCAGTCTGAGCCTAAAGCAGCATAACTAATAGATGGATCCTGGTCACCTGATCAAGCCCCAGCTATAAGCCTTATCAAAGAGTATGTTTTATTCTGATCCTAAACGTAGATAGGGTGTCTGTCTCTTGAGGTGGTTCCACAGGAGCTGAAATCTGCTTTTAGAAATTCTAGAAACCACAAGTAAGTCTGCAGTCGGCGAGCAAAGTGCTCTGTTGGGATAATATAATACTATGCCATCATTAAGATATGATGGGGCTCAATCTGCGGAGTTTGGAGGCCCAGACGAAAATAGTCAGTGTTATTTATTTAATGTGTGGCCAATGGAAGTCTCATTGCACCGTTTTGGATTAACTGGAGATTCTTTTTCAACATCTTTATGATAATGAGTTGCAAAAATCCAGCCAACAGGACTACAGGACAGTGAATGAGTCTCTGTGTCATGATGAGGAGACATAGAAGGTATAGTGTATTTTAACTACAATACACTCAATGCACTTCTTTTTCATTGATTTAGTTTTGTGATGGCATACCATCTCCAGCCTTGTTTTGATAGAAATGGTGCAGAACCATTTAGAAAGGGTCTCTTTTTTTACAGGAATGCCATTGCCATTTATCTGAGCTTGATCTCAACTTGGTCTCACCTGCAGCGCCACATGACTGAAGACAGAAACAGAGCAACATGACAATGACTGAAAGACTGAGGAAGTGTAAGGAGCCAGTGGGCAATAAATTCAGGGTAAAGTTTAAATTGGCAGGGAAAAAAAAAGAGTTTAACCTACAAGGAAGGGAGTTTAAACTACAAGCATGTTTGGATGTAGCAGAGGGAAGCAGGAGGTGGGTTGTGTGGCAAGATGAAGAATGAAAGAGACAGGGGGCAAGTGTTCGGTCACACAGCAAGTGCCTGATTAATTAAATCCACTGTTTGTTTCTGCACAATAAGCGGGCAGCTCAGAGACCGCTTCTGGCACCTTGCCTAATACACTCTCCTATCTGTGAGCCTCTACAACAACTCAACATGATCCTTTTCTTCTTATCTCCTCCCCTGTCATCCACACTGGAGTTCAAGCTTCATAGCTTAAAATGTGTGATGAGTTTTTGCTCTTATATATTTGAAACCTCTGGTGCTCTGAAGCTTGGGATTGGGGTTTTTTTATATTTAGTGTTTCATCCAGAACTTCAATTTCATTGAGTCAGTTCACCTGCGGTTAAACAAACTGCACACACTGCCATGCCACATGTCACAAACACACATATCAGATAAAGCATGTTCTTTATCAAATCACATAAATCTGTGATTGCATAAAGTAAGCAGGAGCAAGTTTAAAAGTCAAGGGTATTGCAGCAGTGTATATACAGAAAGTTCCATGTAAGCACACCAGGTGACTGTAACCCCCCGTTCAGCTATTAGTAAAACACAGCAGGTACCAGAGGGAATTGTGGTGTTACTGATGTAGTTGCCGATGCACCTGTCTCCTGACACAAACCCAGAATAGCTGGCAGGGATGCTGCAAGGCAACACACATGTCTCCTCCTCACTTAAAGAGAGCTGGAAGAAGCCACCTAAGGTCAGAGTTGGATCAGCTCCCGTTAACCACTGCTGCTCAATATGGGGCCATGTCTTTGTATAATAAATGTTCTCTCGTCTGATTCTTATCAAGGCATCTAATGAGCACACAAAACTAATATTGTAACCACTGGTGGTTGCAGAATTGGCTTCTTTTTATAGCTTCTAGTACCATTTATTAGTTATAATATAGTTTTGTATAAAAAATTCTAATAAAATCAGATAGTATTGCTTTTTAAATCCCTTTCAGTTAGACATGCAACATTTTGGGGTGCCCGTATATAAAGAAAAATCCCTCTGACTTGAGTAAATCCTTCTGTAAACACTCCTAAAGTGATGCACATTACAATCTAATTCCTCTTTTTCTTTCACAGTAGCACAAGTAAGCAGATTTTATTGTCTTATACATGTTTATGGAGTTTTTTGACAGAAGCTGGCCCTTCTTTTACCTCACACCTCATAAACTCATTCACAACTGGGAGCGTCATGTCCGCTCAGATTCCAATAATGTGACACAACAATTCTGAACGGCACCTGCTTCGCACAAAAAGGTGAATTGCATTTCTTTCCGAGGCGGAGTAAATTACTGTTTAAGTGTTTTAGTGAGGGAAAGGTGTGTGCGTGAGCCAGCCGGTAATTTCGCAGGGTGTTGTTTAAACACCGCAAAGCGGCCTCACCCACCGCAAAGCAGCCTCGGCAGCTGCAGCAGCTCTTAATCTCCAGCTTGCCTAGCTGGTCTCCCTGTCTGCACGGGTGGAGGTTAATGGAGCACTTTGCAGTAAAGCTGCTCTCACGCTGTGTGAGAACAAGTTTTGGGGAGTTTTGTAAGTAGAAATGAAACATGAAGGGGTCTAAAGGCTAAAATGGGAGAGAGTTAATGCACATCTGGAGACCCATAGAGGCCCTCCGTCTGATCATCTCTCCAAAGTGAAGTCTTGAAAAGATATAATGACTTTGTAAATCAAAAAATGTTCAGTAAACACATTTAAGAGTTTGTGCAACAGCTTCGCAAGCTCTCAGCGCTACAAGTGGACAGAGAACACTTGTTATCTGAAATAAACTGGTGCCATGTTGCATGAATTCAGTCAAGATGCCAAAATCCTCATCAAAATCATGTATGCAGGCAATTAATTTGCATTTTCATGTGTTGATTAGCTGTGGTCGTTACTCGGAGTAGGTATGTGTTGAATAACAAGCTGTTCAGAGGCCTCACATAACACTTCAGCTGCTGCTGAAAGTGTCAGATTAGCTCTGAAGTAGGACTGAAGTTATATAAATACACACAAGTTATGTTTCTGCGTCCCAGACTAGATTAATTCATTTTGAAATTAAAAAAAAAAAAAACAACAGTCAGTACTCTCAACAGATTATCCTGACACATTGTGGTTGTTCATGTTTTTGGCCCACAGCCTGGAAGTTGCGGAACACTCCAAGGAGTCAGCTGTCTGCCGATCTGGAGCTCCTCGCTCAGTAACCTCATCACGGCTTGATGATGCGGCACACCTTTCATCACTCTGGTGTGATAATCTTGAGTTGAAAGGAGAACATAAAGAGATGATTGGGAATCTCACCTGATGTGTCCCACATGTTGAGCTCGATCCTCTGCTTCTCAATCTCGAAGCTAGCCGTGTAATTCTCAAACACCGTGGGAACGTAATTCTGAAACGAAAGGCGTGTGGTGGCTAAAATTAGATCAAAGCTTGGAGGAGATGATATGCCCACTGTAAAAAAGAAAGACGGTGTGATTTTCATGACAAAACAGTCAGATTCCTAATTAATTCAAATAGCTGCTGTGGGGATGGTAAGTGCAGTTGTGAATGTCAAGAGGCGAGAGATGGTGTGTGTGTGTGTGTGTGTGTGTGTGTGTGTGTGTGTGTGTGTGTGTGTGTGTGTGTGTGTGTGTGTGTGTGTGTGGAAAGTAGATGAGTCCAATGCTTTGCTTTGACCTATTTGCAAGTTCTGAACTTTAGTTCAAAAAGCTTTGGTTTGATTAATCCCAACAGTTCAAGAGTCTGACAGAATGCATTTCCTGCATCACATAAAAATTCTCCTCCTTTGGAACACAAGTTCTTCCTTCTTCACTAAACACATTTCCTGTTGTTAGTGAGTTTAGTCTGCATTCCTCTCTAGTTTTGCTGAAAAAGTATGCTTTGGGGTTTATCCATTCACAATCTGTAAGTTTTTTGTCATAAACTAGTTCTTAAAAAGCTATATATATATATATATACATATATATATTTACTTACTTCAGATGTCTTATTGGTGTAATTAAAATTATGTAATCAAGTAAAGAAGACAGAGTACTACTTCTGAGAGACAAAGTATTACTTGTGCGAACTTTTTGCCTCTATTCGGTTTTCGGTCACCACTATAAAACATTACACACTCCCGGGTTTAATATCTCGCGTCTCACAGCACACAATCTAGCTCCCAGGCGGTTATTCTGTTGTTCTGGTCAAACCTGCAAAGTCCCACATCAACAGACGGACACGGTGCGCAAAAGCGCACGTAGGCAAAAAAAATTCAGTGATAACTGGCCACTGAATTCTAATTATGTTATTAATTTACATGATGCTGTTGCATCACTTTAGATGAGGCTTAACAAAAACCCCGGTAAAATCCTGACGTGATGAAATAATACACAATGAGAACACCATAATGTTTCTTTAAAAAGAAAAGAAAAAAGAGAACATCCATTTACAGTTTCGAGTTTTAACTTCCATGATATTTTTGGCGGCACAAATACATTATAATAAATGTTTACAGGGCACACATTTAACTAGGTATCAATCAGTTCCCACAATGATCCACAATGTCAAGCCTTCTTGTAGCGATCTCACTCTACGTGAAAACACTGCCGCGTGGTTTCGGGGACTTTACGCACCTGTGCCGTTGCACCATTCAGGGCTGCTGTGCGTATTTCTATTTCTAATAAATGCTGCCTTACCTCTGGGTACGAGTCTTTGGCAAAAACGTGAAGGAGAGCCGTCTTGCCACACTTGCTGTCCCCGACAACCACAATCTTACAGCGAAGTAATCCCTTGCTCTCCATGATTTCCCCTGTTTAAATCACTGAGTGCTTCTGTGTCGCTACCTCCTTGTCATTTAGCTCCAAGCAAATAATAATGTCGAAGAGCAGCTTTAAATGTTTATTTTTTTTTCCCACAGATGGAATAAAACACTCCGGGTAAAGAAAAAAACAAAAGAAAACAAAAGAAAACTTCAACTCCACAGTCTGGTGTAGTTTCGGCTACATGCTCTGCGCGCTGCTGCGCTCCACTGCTTCTTCCAGTCAAGTGAGGCGCACAGCTGACGCTTTCGGTCAAAGTCACGTCCTTAAAATGCAGATTCCTGTTTGGCTTTTCACATTTAAAGCCTACGTGGTGCTGGCCATGTAAACAACATTAACGCTCAGTGTATTCCATCCGCGTCATGCTAGAAAAGCAGCTTAACCCTGCGAGCAGCTGCTGTTATTGCGCTAATACAGCCGGGCTAACAGTCTATTATTTTGAATGAAAACTTGCAACTGTTCACGTCTTTCTATAACAGACTCTGCCCAGCTTGACACCGCGCCACCCCCCGCGTCGTATATCCACCCAGGTGGGTTTATATATCTCTGTTCAAAACAACTGAATATCTGCTGAATGAAAAAAGCCAGATTAATCACGTCTACTTTGTATAGATTTATGAACTGTCACTTTGAGTTACTGATATAAAGTCACAGAGCAGAATCAGGACAAATATACAGAATATACTCCATGGTAGCAAAATCATTATCTTTATGATTACAGATTTACTTTGCAAGTCTTCACAGTTTAGTGACAGTCAGGTTTTTAACACTGCTGCTGATAGAAGGATTCTGGTGTGACACCCCCACATCACTAATCTGCTCTTTTGTATATAAACACAAGATGCCAGCTTCATTCTGAACTTTGTTACCAGGGATAAGATCTGTGTGATCTGCCTCAGCGCATTAGAACTTCTAAAGAACATTTGCAGCCTGTTAGCTCCATCTTCTGGTCAAAAAATAGAGAAGAGAAAGAGAAAAAATAGCTTGTTTTCCAGTATTTTACTAAATCCCACAGCCATTGTGCGCTTGTCTGCTTTTGCTAAAACATCAGAAAGAAAGTAAACTGTCAAATTGTCCTTGGAAAACTAAAAATGTTGCCTCGTCAAGAGTTTAATGTGACATGTAAAAGGAAACCATATGTTCTGAATTTATTAACAGTATGTTTGATAGTCTCAGCAGATACAAGTTTATTTTGTGCAAAGACAATGTGAAGAGAGTAAAAAGACACTTAAAGCGGGCGTCCTCTGCCAAGGAAACATCCTAATATTTGATTTTGAGGAAAAAGATATGCATCAGCTCTTCTTTTAACTTGTCTGTCTTCACAAAAATGATCAAATGGACATGTAAACATGATCAATAGGTGAACGACAGGGGAAAGAAAGAAAACATTAACTTACCTGGATGATTGAGCATGCATCAAGATGAAAACATTAAGTTGTTATGGGGATCTGACTTGTTTTATGCAGGTACTCATGATGGGTTTTGGATTCACTACAGAACAGTGAACTGTTAACTGAGATGGTTTGGACATGTGCAGAGGAGACATGGTGGATATACTTTACAAAGCATGTTGACCATGGAGATCCCAGGCAGGAGGAAAAGAGAAAGACCTCAGAGAAGATTCATGGATCTAGTGAAAGAGGTCATGCAGAGGATTGGTGTGACAGAGGAGGATGCTCCAGATAGGATGAGATGGATGCAAATAATCTGCTGTGACAAGGGAGCAGCTGGAAGATGGAGAAGAGACTGATTACTTTAGCTTCAGCAAAGCTGAAAAGGCAGTTAAACTATAGTAGTCAATAGCTTTTAAGCAGTGAGGGGGTGTAAAACCGAAGTCTAAGCACAGAACATCTGAGAGTGCTTACTTCCCCTCACATCAAAGTTAGCAACCACAGTTCTTTGTGTTTTCAGTTAACATCGTATTTGCACCAGTCGTGTGGTGTGAGGCTATGTACAAGGCCAGAGTTCTCAGCTAGAAAAGACCCAGTGTGAAAGCTGCAGTGAAGTCATTAAGTACTTTGCTTTTTCACAAAATACACTATAACACACAGCCTGCTGATGCCAGTATTAACCTTGTGCACAGGAGTGTAAATAGTGAGGCGTTGAGATAAAATACTTTCACTGTTTTGTTAAAGAAACTGTACATGTGAGGGTTTTATGCCTAATCTGTAAACTGTAATCCCAGCATCCCCAGTGAGATTAAGGGTTGTAATTTTAATCACTTTCTTCAAGATATCTCATCTGTTTTCATCTATTGCCTTAAGAAGTTGCTCAAAAATACTTTAACAAGAACATGTCCCTGAACTTGATGCCTTTTATTTGTCTGACCCACTGGAGATCAAACTGGGATGCATGTGGCCCATTGAGTGAAATGAATCTGACTCAGTCGCCCCAGATTTTTTTTTTTACTGGATGTCTATGGTATGAAGGCTGTACCCTACCTTATGTCTATATAGATATATAATGCAAAGTCTCCAAAAGTTGATTCTGTTCATCTGGACGTAGCGTTTTGTGGAAGAAATGATTAAGATTGGGGAAAACTACAGTCAGCTGAGACTGAAGAAGTCACTTGGATGAGTGACGAAACGTTTCTCTCACAAAACGCTACGTCCAGATGAACAGAATCAACTTTTGGAGATTTACTTTCCTGGATGATTGAGAAGGCATCAAGACATATATTGCATAGTGTTTGGTTTGACTTTTCTGCCCCTTTAAAAGGCAACTCTTATCTTTCTCACCATGTCCCCACTTCCTGTCTGTACCAACCACAGGAGTGTGAGTGTGTGAGTGTGCACAAAGTGTGTGTGGAGGGGAGAGCTGTGGCTTTAAATACATTAGAATGATGTTTATTCTACAGTAAGGCTTTTTTTTTTTTCATGTATAACCTCAAATGTTACCAGCTTCCGGGGCATATTGGTTCCTATAGCTTTCAAATTCCGCTAAATAATCATTTTAAAAGTAATTTGTATTGCAAAAACATTTGACTTATATTTGAGAACATAATTTATTCACATTTATTAACTCCTGACTATTATGTGATCTTAATAATCCCACTTCTCTTTCCAGGGCTCCAGTGTCCGGGCTTTGACGCTCTCCACGGCTCTTTGGCTCTTGTCTCTGAGCTTTTTGCCAACGACACATATCGGTCACGTTTTGAGCTCTGTCAAGTAAGCCACCTGGAAGCAGAAGTGAACCGGAAGTTACTTTGATGATGGACTATAAAAATAAACTCCAGAGAGAAGAAAAGAAAAAAACACCCCATGATCATGTCCACAGCGAATATTTAGCACATTTGAAATTTGACACATTGCAGAAACATGATTATAAAGATCGCTTTTATACTTATCTCTGCCAATTTTTGGGTTAGAAATATAAAAATGGTTAAATGTGGAGCTCAGTGGATGCAAAGAGCAGCAGTTTTGTCTATTAACGCCTCTGAGTACCCGAAAAAGTGTTGTGTAGATCCAATGTTGTTATGCTTGTGTGTTTAAAGTCCTCATGCAGGAAAACGCGGATATTATTAGAAATGAATTGTTTATTTTTATGTTACTTAGTCGGAAAATCTTCGTGTTCAGCATTTTCATCCCCTGAAAAATATTGAACATGAATGCATTGCCTGAGGAAGTTGGGTTTTTTTTTAGACTTTTTAAAATCAGTTCTCGACAGGTCTTCATGGGTGCCATAATTTTTCTTCTTTTTTTAACCTGCACAACCTGAAACAAACTCATCTAAATCTTGCGGGATTGGTGAATTCAATTTTAGCTGCCACATCAAAAACGAGAAAGAACAGAAAAGAAAAGAAACGTTTTGGTAAATTGGCATCCGTATTTTATTGTGAAAATCACTCTGGGAACTTGTATAAAATACGCCGCTCTTGACTCTGGGCACTTGTTGATCTAGGCGCATACACAGGAAACCGCGCACATCTTACTGAGGACTCGACTCTGCAGGAAACACCCTCTTATTTCACATTTTTATACTAGAAAATTTGCACTAAACGTTCTTGGAGTGTTTGGAAAGAAACGCTCAAACAGGCGCAACTGTCAAACTGAAAAGCTTTAAAAGCGCACTTAGAACGTGGTTATCATGTCTAGCGAAGAGGGTCCAACTCAGCAGCAACAGCCTGAGCAGGAGAAAAAGCCTGATGAGCCTCCCTCAGCTGCTTCGGATGCACCTCAGCAGGAGTCAGGCAGCAGCAGCCCTGCAGCAGAACCACCAGCAGCTGTAGCAGAACCACCAGCAGCAGCTGTAGCAGAACCACCAGCTGCAGCACCAGCCGCTGAGGAGAAGCCGCTCTCCTTCCGCGCTCTGGTACTCACGGGACATGGGGGCTACGACAAAGTCAAGCTGCAGGTGAAGACGATGGCCAAGCCGAAGCTGAAGGCAGGAGAGGTCCTGGTGCGCGTCAAGGCATGCGGGCTGAACTTCGCCGAGCTGCTGGCCAGGCAGGGGCTGTACGAGCTGCTGCCTTCCCCGCCCGTCACGATGGGAATGGAGGGCTCCGGGGTCATTGAAGCGGTCGGGGAGGATGTGAATGACAGGAAAGTGAGTAAAGGCCTGCTAAATGCTTTCCCCACACCCACAAAATTCTACTGTGGTCATGAAAGAGCGGCAGATCAGCGGCTCCGTAGCTGCCAAGCAAAGTATCCGAGCCTTTAATTTTTCTGCATTTCTTGCCAGTGCGTGACGCGTGTAATCTTTTCCAAACGCCAACCCAGAGCGCTGCTGTCATCACTTTCCACGTTTCTTTAGTGAAAACCGTGAACTGAAATCTCTTTTAATAGCTGTTAATTTTAGTTCCTCTCAAATCTCAGAAGGCACAATCAGATTTCTAGCTGACGTGAGTTTGGACTGGCTGTTTCCTTTCTGTGTACCACAGACTCGTCTTTGGCACTCAAGCAGCGACATTTCAATAAACAACCTTAATCGTAGTGTGTTCGTTTGAGCAGCTGCTAGAAAGTGTGACACTTAAGAAAACTGACGGTGTTTGAGTGACAGTCTGGCCTTGACGCGTTTTTAACATTTTCTCCCCTGCACAAAAGAAGCTACGTGTATTTTCTTCTCTGATGAAAAGGCGCATTTCTAAACCAAGTGAGTGTGTGCCTCCTTTTAAATTCTTGAAACTAATGGAAACTCGTAGGCTGTAACACCTGATGTTGGCAATTATACTCGATTATATTTAGAGAGCTGCTGATTTTAGCCTCTTTGA